GCATCTTATCTGGTCTGACATTCTTAATTTCTACCAATATAAAAATCATTGTTCTAAAACTCGCTAGGTGCTAGTCGCACGGTCGAGGGGTGCCTAGCGGCTAGACGGCCAATTAGGCCGTTTTTTTTGGACGACTAGGGCGACTACATTTAGGGATGACTAGGTCGATTAATCGGTCTAAGTAGGCTGATTTTTAGAACAATGGTAAAAATGTGAATAACTTGAAATGACGACAGAAAAATGTTTACCAAAAGTACATACCTTTTCTATCAAAATAGTTGAGATTATTATTACCATTGCGATACACTTTTTTTTATTACATTTTACAATTTACAGTACATCACTTAAAATTATAATATTAATATATTTTCATTAAAAATAGTCAAAACCTGGAATACTTATACCCCAAATCACTAAGTTAAATGATAAACTATATAATATAATTTATAGAATATAATAATATAACATAAAGAAAATAGAAACAAATTAGAAATACTAAAATTTAAAAAATAGCAAATTTAGATTTTTAGAATTAAGATAATATTAGAAAATTAAATTAAATTTTAATCATTTTTTACTTTTAAAACAGAAAATGTAAATGTGAATAAAGGAAAATAATACAAAATCATAAATTGGTAACACAACTAGGAAAAAGGAAAAAATAAAATTTTAGAGAAAATAGATTGAAAAATGACCAAAAATATTTTATTAACTTCGGTACATTTGTATAATATTTGTAATTGTTTGTACATGTTTAAAAACATTTAGATTGAAAATTCATAAAAAAATCTATATCTTCGAAAAATTTAGCTTGATAATTGAGATTAATAAAAACAGGTTCAGTTGTAGTTGTGATTATTTAAAGCTTACATACATAGTTCACGTTTAAAATTGACTTGCTATATGAAATTGTACCTGGTTAAAAATAATTTAGACGATTCACGAATAATATAATAAATGAAATTATTAATACAATTTCATTAAAATGCCGGAGGGTGGAATAATCTCATCAATCAGTGTGTAATTTTACTGGGACTGTCCTCACGTACACAAAAGAGCTGCGCAGTTAAATGACAGAACAGGGTAGAATCTTTGCAGGTGTTTCCAAAAAGTGTAGGTGTGACCGAATTATTGGTTGAAGTGGTTCAACATATTTGCCAAATATGTTCAGTATTTGCAAAAAGAAAAAAATTTGTATCTGGACATATTTGCCAAATATGTCAGTCTTCCTATTGGTCAAGAGGGGTGGGCGCGGATCGCCATCTTGGATCGTGAAGCGAAGGGCTTGGATCGCATTAAAACAAGATATTCCCAACATATTTGGCAAATATGTCGGTCTTCCTATTGGTCAAAAATATGGGGCGCGGATCGCCATCTGGGATCGTCAGCTGAAGGGTGTGGATTGATTCGATCTATTTGAGCAGATTTACGAATCTGTTGTAATAAATTAATATATTTCTCAACATATTTGGTGAATATGTCCGTGCTCCTATTGGTCAGAATAAGGTGGTTCGGATTGCCAATTACTCAACATGTTTGCCAAACCTGCTCTATAAAATCCACCACAAACCTCACCTCACAACCCCATCTCACGGTTCCAATCTGTCTTCTAACTTCTCCAAATTTTGGCCATCTCCTTCATCTTAACCCAAGTAAGTTCTTCTTTAATATTTTTAGTTTAATTTAATTTGTTACTTTATAAAAGTAGGAATGAAATTAATTAACGTTAAGTAATTTAACATTAAGTTATATCTTCTCCAAATTAGTTAACGTTATGTTACTTTAGGTCAACTCCTTCTCCAAATTTATTAATAAAGTAATTAAGTTTTTCCAATTTAATGGTTAATTTAGGTAATAATTAAAGTTAGTAATTTAGGAATGAAATTATTCTATAATAGTGTTAATTTGTAATTGTGAATTAGGAACCTAAACAAAAAAGTGAAATAGGAAACTTGCGAAATTTTAGTTTATTTACCAAATATGAAAGATTAGTGTTATATGTATGTATGTATAAATTTAGTAATATGCATGCTAACCTTTTTGGAAAATTTTGCCCACCTTTAGTTTAAAGTTTGTAGTAATTTTTCCTATTTTGGTGTAGAAATTAGTCTATAAGTTGTGATAATTAACGAAAAAATAATGTATAGTATTAGTCTATAGTTAACGAAATATGTTGTTTTTTAATTAGGTGTATTTATTTGTATTACAAATTGTATTATAAGTAGTGTTGTTTAATTACATATATAATTTGTATTATAAATAGTGTTGTTTAATTAAATTTGTAATTACGCACAAAGTATTACAAATAGGAGTGTTGATTTGGAATTAATTTAATAATATACTTTTAGGTTTTCATGGCTACACAAAGAGAGCACCCCCATCCCGGGCCCATAAAACGTTCTGTATTGGTAATGAAACCTGGAGAACATCGTGCCGATAATGTGTGGAAAACTGAAGAGTCGAGAGACCTAAAATTGAGGTGCATTACTTACCCCAAATCCGCCAAAGACGATGGCGAACGTGATCCTAGAGTCGTACAACTGCTGAGGGCATCAGGCTTTCAAGGAGCTGAACGAGTAGTACAAATCAAAATTGATCACGGTCTTATCACTGCATTGGTTGAGAGGTGGAGACCAGAAACACATTCTTTCCATTTACCTTTTGGCGAGGTCGGCATTACCTTGCAAGATGTACAGGTGCTGCTGGGGTTACCGATTGATGGTCTCCCACTTACTGGTCCGACGGCACATAGTAAGACTGAATGGGTCCAAATGTGTGATGATTATCTTGGTTTCAGACCATTTGAAAAAGATATAATATCATCCAACAGCATTAGAAATCTAGCCATTCAGCGCTTTTTGTTGTCACCGTGGAGCACTGACATTGAAGTTATTCAACATACTAAAACGTTGATTTGACAGTTGCTCAGTGGGTTGTTGTTCCCTAGCACTTCCGGTAGAGCGTCACTTTACTTTCTTGAGTTGTTGCATGACAATGTAGAGAATTTGACTAGGTGGAGTTGGGGCTCAGCTGTGTTGGCATTTCTGTACCACAACTTATGTGAAGCGGCGAAGGCGGACACATCTTCGATTGGAGGATGTTTAATCCTTTTACAACTTTGGGCATGGGAGAGGTTGCCAATGGTTCGACCCCAACGGGTTCTTCCATTGCATTGCATTCCCAACTACACACGAGGTAAGAATGATAAACTGCTCACGAGTAAGTTAATTGCCTCTGAAATAAGCTCCAAGATTTTTGTTAAGCCCGATTATAGTGTAAAGCTAATCATGCATGACATACAACGGAAGTTCAACATCCACGTGGGTTACAAGAAAGCATGGTATGCTCGAATCTTGGCATTGGAGAAACGGTTTGGCAATTGGGAGGCAGCGTACAACGATCTCCCAAAACTTCTACAAGGTATGTCATTTAGTAATCCAGGCACCATTGTTGACCTACGAACAGACCAAACCGATACACAAGGTACGTATGCAGTGGCGGACCCACTAAGGGTCCTACGGGGTCCCGGGACCCCGTGTAGTTCCAAAATAATACCTATATGTATTATATATATTTTATATAAAATTTATTACGAAATGTATATATATAAAACATGTTGTTTTTCACTTATGGAATCGAGTAGCCCGATGGTTGTTCGCGTGTCAATAAAGCACGTTCCTGGTTAGGGGTTCGATTCCCCCCAACTCCTCTTCCTTTTTTTGTCTTTTACATGTATTTTCTTTACTTCTTTTTTCGTTTGGAAATGAAATACCCGAATGTTTTCTTTTATTGTTTTTTCCATGTTTTGTTGTTTACTCCTTCTTTCGTTTTTTTAAACTTTGCATAATTCATTTTTTACTTTTATTGTTTTCCCCATATTTTATGGTTTACCTCTTCACCATTTGCAAATTCATTTTTTGGGCTTAATTATTAAAAATTATTTTTTTAAGATTAAATTATTAAATAGAAATTGCTCAATATAAGACTAAAACATATACAAAGTTTTGCATAATTAATTCATTTTACTTTAATTGTGTTTCTCATGTTTTATTATTTACCCTTTTCATAATTCATTTTTTTGGGTTAACTATTAAAATTATTTGAGTGTTATGATTAAATTATTAAATAGAAATTGCTTAATATAGGACTAAAACATATACAAAGTTTAAAAAAAGGACTGATTATGTTTTATTTCCCAAATGAGACTTATTAAATCCTATTAAAAGAAAATTTTGATTAAAACTTCTCAAAATAAGAGTTCATGAGTCACATTTTAGGATGAAGAGATATTTGGATAGTGTACAAGATTTAAAAGAATTCGGAGTGCGGGAGTAATTTAGATGTTAACTTAAATGATTCGCCATTAGTAAATGAAGAATTGGATCAAGTAATTGCTAAAAGTGAAACTAATTTGGCTTATAATCTCCATAAACAACATGTTGATTTTGAATATTTGGAAGCTGGTTCTTGTAGTGTTGATTGAGAAAAAAATGTTGATTTTCATCCTAATGATCAAGACGAGATACGCCGCAGTTACCTTTAAAAAGGGCCGTTTCACCCTCGGGGTCATGATTTCCCTTCTAAGGGTAATTGGCGGCAAAAGATGTAGATTTGTTTCAAGTTGGTTTGATAAGCATAAATGGTTGAAATACATTATTATATTGGTAAAGAGGTTGCATTTTATTTGCCATGGTATTTGTTTAAGAATGAGTGTGAAGTTACGTTGTGATTTTTTTTTAGGATCGGATTTTCATATGCGACATTTTGTTTACCATGTTATTTCCCTTGCAAGATGTTGTATTTTGTTTATCATGTTACTTGTTTACTATGCTATTTTTTAATTTTTATAAATTAGAGTGGCATTAGGATAGGGACCCCGTGGTTCTGTTTTTCTGGGTCCGCCACTGTACGTATGAATTTAAGTACGCTTTTTGGTCAATCAAGGCAGCGATTGATGGTTTCAATCATTGTTTTCCGGTCATTTCCATTGATGGTACACATTTGTACGGTAAGTACAAAGGCACTTTGTTGGTCGCGGTGGCAATGAATGCTAACCGTGAAATCTTTCCTCTAGCTTTTGGGGTGGTAGATAGCGAAAACGGGGATAGTTGGACGTGGTTTTTACAGTTAGTTGCGACAAATATTATTCCTCCGCGTCGGAATGTTTGCATAATATCTGACCGACATGTCGCGATTGATTGTGCGTTCCGGAATGTGCCACAATTGGGAACACCTCTAATTCAGAGGCGATATTGTCTTCGACACATTCGAAGTAATTTTATGTCCCAATTTCGAAGCAAGAATCTCAAAAAATTGTGTTGGCGTGCCGGAAGTACTCCCATTCTAAATGAATTTACTAACTACATGCAACAAATACGGGGTGCTAATGAAAGAGCATTCAACTATCTTGATGCCATTCCTAAAGAGAAGTGGGCACTTTGTTTTGATGGTGGATGTCGTTATGGAATTTTAACGACCAATCTATCTGAAAGTTTTAACCATGCCCTAAAAGGATGTAGAACGCTTCCGATTACAGCACTTGTGAGAGCAACTTTCGATAAATCTGTTCAGCTCTTTGTAGAACGACGTAATGCTGGTATGATGTGGAATCAAAGTGGATATCAATTTCCGGAAAAAATCCGGAAGCAGATTATGGATGGATGGCAACAAAGGCGTCACACTGTTGTAATCCCGCACAATTATCACAGTGGAGTTTTCTCAGTAGCCATAGAAAATGCAACTCCGGTTACGGTAGATTTTTCAAGGAGCAACTGTGATTGTGGCTGCTGGAGGATGAACTGGATGTCATGCAGCTACGTGCATGCTGTGTGTCTCTTCCTCGACCGCCCTGTCAATCAACTTATTCCGGAAGTCTATAAACTGACCTCTTACATTAATGCACATGCTGGTGATATTATGCCTTTACCAAATATGAATGAGTGGCCTGATATTGGGATCCATCTTTTACCGCCAAAATATTTATCACGAACTTCTCGAGTGGGGCGTCGTCAAGAAACGAGGTTTCAAAATGAGATGGATATGCGTCCAAGCAGAAGAAGAGGACAACAATGATTTCATGTATTTTTAATATTTCAGCGTTTTTAATAATTTCTTATGAAGGAATTGTACTTTTTAAGTTTTTAATAACAAGTTGTTTCTTATCATTTCAATAAATATTTCAATTCAGAATATATAAATTTTCATTTCAGTAGATTGTAGTGTATAATTTTCGTGAAATGTGGGAAGAAATAAATAAAGCATTGTTAACTAAATCTATTCAAACCTCTTTTTTTCGGAAATCGTTTAACATATTCACCAAATATGTTGCTTGATTTTTTTTAATCGAAAACTGTTGAACATATTCGCCAAATACGTTCACTGACTTCTTCTTCTTTTTAAATAGAAATCTATTGAACATATTCACCAAATATGTTCTCTGACTTCGATCTTTTTTAATAAAAATTCAGAGATATCTATTGAACATATTCACCAAATATGTTGAGTCTTTGGAATGGTCTGCAGACCAGAATCTACACCATTTGGAATGGTCTGCAAAGATCCTACCCTGTTTCGTCAATCACCCGAGCTGCGCAATTCGTCAGACATGGCGCCGATTGATCCACATTCCTTCACAGATTCCGCGCACCCTCTCACCACCCACGTCTCCCTCACTCTATACTTCGACTTCCCGTCGTCCACCATCTCCGCCGCCACACTCATATCTCTGGCTGCGCCTTACTCCGGGCCCCTCACTCTCGACACCCGTTCCCTCTCCATCTCCGATGTTCTCGACCCCGTCTCGCTTTCCCGGATTCCCTTCTCCTTCTCCCCCTCACCGCCGGACCCAGTCCTCGGCCAAGCTCTCACCTTCTCCCTCTCGAACCAAGCCCAAGTGTTGATTCTCTCGGGGACAACCCCCTCTAGCTCCGCCCTTCAGTGGCTTTCGCCGCCGCAGACGTTTAACAAAACACACCCCTTCGTTTACACGCAATGCCAGTCCATTCACGCCAGGTCCGTTTTCCCATGCCAGGACACGCCCGCCGCGAGGATCAAATACTCCGCGAAATTGAACATCCCGCGCCATCTCTCGGCGGTGATGTCCGCGAAGCACGTGGAGAGGCGGCAACCCTTTCCGGCGGAGGCCGGAGGAGCATGCGAGGATGCGATTTGGTGTGCGGATGATCGGGTCGTGGAGGAATTTGTGATGGAGCAGCCGATTCCGCCCTATTTGTTTGCTTTTGCAGTTGGTGAATTAGGGTTCAGGGAGGTTGGGCCACGGACGAGGGTCTACTCAGAGGCAGCACCTGCTCTGCTAGATGCCGCCGCCAAGGAGTTCGCTGGGACTGAGGAGATGATCAGGGTGGGAGAGAGGCTTTTTGGGCCTTATGATTGGGAGAGGTTTGATTTGTTGGTTTTGCCTCCGAGTTTCCCTTATGGAGGAATGGAGAATCCCAGGATGGTGTTCTTGACACCCACTGTTATCAAGGGAGAGTCCAGTGGAGCTCAAGTGGTGGCTCACGAACTTGCTCATAGCTGGACAGGAAATCTGATCACTAACAAAAACAACAATCACTTTTGGCTGAATGAGGTAATGTATTTTTTTGTTAAAGATTTGCAGATTACTTAGATGGGATTTACTCTGATTTATATTTGTTCACTGGGAGTTATATTGCTGTTAGATTTTAGCTTCTACTCTTCTAGTGCAGTACTAGTTAGGTGATATTATATTTCGGTGGCGTTTTCTTGATCCATTCTCATTTTCTCTAAGCATTGTAATAACAAGACTCGATCTTTAGTGGTAAATCGGAGCCTCTCATGTGGTTATGTGGCCTTCAACTTTATGGTCTTTTTGGTCAGAGGGGGTTGGAAGGCCAGGAGGGGAATGTTGTAGCGGGCTTACTCTATATAGTCTATATAAAAGGTGATTGAACTGTTATATGATCACATACTATGTTAATCATCGTTTTCTATAAAATCTAAAAAAAATAATCTATATTCAAATATTTTTCAAAATAGTGGTATTGAGTAAGCCCTCCAAAGATTTCTCATCCAACCCCTCCAAAACCACCTATCCAAACTTGCACTTAATGATGCATTTTCCGACATATACGCAAATACACCTTTTGTGTTTTTCGACTACTTTTGATAAGGTTACAAGAAAGATGATGCAAACTTTTTTCTTTTAAGGTAAAATTGCTCTTTTAGTCCCCTGTTGTTTCAGATTTTACTATCTAGGTTCTTTTCTTTCAATCTTAGTAAATTTAGTTGTTATAATAATTAAATACAATTATTTCTTATAATGTCCTTTTGTAACATACAATGCTTTGTGCTGTTAATAGGGGTTCACAACATATGCGGAACGGAGGATTGTAGAAGTAGTGCAAGGAGAGGACAGGAAGGCACTGAGTATTGGTCGTGGGTGGAGGGGACTTGTTGAGGAAATGGAAAGGTTCAAGGATAACCTGGAATTCACAAAGCTGAAAACCAACCAGGCAGGGGTTGACCCCGATAATGTGTACTCTCAAGTCCCATATGAGAAAGGATTCCAGTTCTTATGGCGGATTGAGAGACAAGTATAAAACCCCTATATTCCTTTTGATTATTTAGAGCCGTTTGGTATACATATAGGTCATAAGCCAGATTTTCACCAAAAATCTAACAAAGTTCGCTACATAACTTATTTTTTTGCCTGAAATAATGAAAGTGCCGTTTTAGCATTCATTTTCAGTTACTAATATATTTCTTTTATTTAAGGAAAATATTTTGAATAAGTTTTACATAAATCAGAAGATTGAACCATTCTCGGCACAAATTCAGCAAATTGTGCCATGTGATAAAACCATTCTTATAGATTATAATAATTTTTTACACAAAATCTTTTACATATAAAAAGCAAAAGATTTTGTGGAACATGGGCTGGGCATGCCCCAGTTTGGCTCTCCTTGCCTATCATATGCCCATGTGAAATAGGGTATTAGTATGGTTTTGTGACTTCACAAAAAGGAATTAACACATGGCTTTCTCTATTTTTATTATGCTCAGGTTGGAAGACCTGCCTTTGATGAATTTATTAAAAAATACATTGCCGCCTTCAAGTTTCAGTCAATTGACACTGATATGTTTCTTGATTTTCTGAAAGCAAATTTACCTGGAATAGAGGGTGGAATTGATTTGAAGATGTGGACCGAGGGTACTGGCATACCCTCGGATGCAATGGAACCGGTTTCTGAACTGTACACAAAGATTGTATCTCTGGCTAATGAATTCAAGCTGGGTAGGATGCCAAGCGAGGATGAAGTTGCTGACTGGCAGGGACCGGAATGGGAGCTTTACCTTGACAATTTACCGAAATCTGTTGAAGCTTTACAGGTCAGGGGATTTTTTTGAAGTAACTTATTTTAATTATAATTTTTTTTTTTGTTTCGTGATTTCGTCTTATTGAAATTGGTTCTATTGATCTGAATTTGGAAGAATGATATTCATGGTATTTTTTCAAAAATGATTGAACTAATTCCAAGATCTTTAAAGTGATTGACTTCGGAGTTATCACCTGATTTAGTTTCCCAATTTTGTTTATTATCCATTTAGGTTCTTAACATTTTATAAATTGACTCAAGTTGGTTATTGAATAAATTTTTTGGACAAAATGTAATCCTCATTCATGCACACTACACACAATAATATTCACACATAGATCTGTGTGTGTCTACTGTCTATACCATACATGCTTACATGCACACATTAGATGCAATTATAAAAGGGTGCCTCCCTTGCAAATTGAGCACGTCTACACTTTACCACAAAATGATGCACCTTTACGTTTAGATGGTGCACATTTATGCGGTGGCAGAAATATTGGTTTGTTTTCCATAATGCTGCTGCGGGTTTATTCCCACTTACTGCACTGCTGGCATATTTAGAGCCCTTAAATCTCAAATACGATGCCCTAGAAGGATGTTTTCTACTTGAACCTATACACACATACTGTTTAATTGTCCATTCATTTAGACGTACTTTAAACTCAATCTGGTCCTCAAATACGTAATTTAGACCAAAATATGTAATTTAGTCCTATATATGCACAAGGAGTAGATTGAGTCAACATTGCATACCTAAGGACAAAATTCCCCGATCTAGTAGAAAAGAGAGTACATGACCAGTTGGATAAATAGTTTAATTGAGAGATCAAATCGAGTCTTACCCAAAATGCATAAAAAATTATCTTTAACTCTCATCTATTTCTCTGCCAAATGCATAACATTCTTCTGCTTATAACTTTTATGTCGAACACCTTTTTTACATGGCTGTTGAAGGAATTGTCTTTTCCCCCTTTTTACACCAGATAAGGGCTTTAGATGCTCGCTATAGGCTTTCGGAATCAAGAAATCATGATGTGAAGGTTGGTTTTCTTAAGCTGGCGATCTCAGCAAGGTGCAGAGATTACTACAGCGAGGTGGAGAGGACTCTCAAGGAAGTTGGGAGGATGTTGTACCTTCGCCCCCTCTACACTGCATTGGTCCAATGTGATGGTAAGGAAGATGAAGAAGACAAGGTTTTTGCCACAAGGGTCTTTTCTGAGGCTTGTGATGGTTATCATCCAATAGCTAAAGGAGTTGTTGAGGCCATTCTAGCTAAATTTGTATGATTTTTAAATTTGTTGATTTCTCTGCGCTCACTTTGCCTGACAGTTCGAGGCCCGTGTGACAAGGGCAAAATTTGGTCGAAATAATTGTAGTCACTGAATCTAATTGACCAATTAAATAAGAAGTCAAAGCAATCGGCTATAGATCATCAAAGGAGTCACTGAAACGATTCAAGTCTTTGAAGCTAATTATGGAGCTTAGATAGTTAGGATGGAGTTGAAACATGAGACTTTGAGAGAGTATAGCACTATAGCTTAATTACTTCGAGTTTGAATTACACTTCTGCGTCTTCTCAGTTTTTCAATATCTGGTCTCCCACCGTAGACTCTCACCTATGGTGGTGTAAGGAGGGTCGGATGTGTGTACAGTGGCGGATCCACTTTAGTTCAAAGGTGTTCTCATGAACACTTAGAATTTTGAAAAATATCTTAGTATGTATGTATGAATTTAGTTTTAGGAAAAATTGATAGTAATAATCCCAACTATTGGCGGTCCGCTCATAATAATCCCAAGTATTGATTATTACAGAATAATCCCAACTTTATGGA